TCTTCAATGGCTAGCTTTCTGCTGTGGCTATGGAGCGGCGGCGCGGGATGGCCATAGTGGGATGGCCCAAGTGCTTGAGCGCTGGCCCCGGCATGGGAGACCAGGAGAAGCATCTGGCTGTTAGCTTCGGATCAGCGTGTCGCACCAGCCGCAGTGACCATTGCGGAGTGAACCAACGGCAAAGGAAGACCTTTCTCTCTGTCTCTCTCTCTCACTGTCCACTCTGCCCGTCAAAAAATAAAAAAATTTAAAAAATTAAAAAAAAATAAATCTTAAAAAAAAAAAAAAGAAGACGAGGAGTAGAACAATAAAGAAGAAAACATACCTCCTTATACCGAACAGGTTCTAGAGCCATAGCAGGAGGAAGGGCAGAATTTTTCAGTTACACAACAGACTATTTAGATTATATCAGACTTTTTGGTGTCTAAAACTAAAAAAAAAAAAATTCTTGACAGGCAGAGTGGACAGTGAGAGAGAGAGACAGAGAGAAAGGTCTTCCTTTGCCGTTGGGTCACCCCGCAATGGTCACTGCGGCTGGTGCAACACGCTGATCCGAAGCTAACAGCCAGGTGCTTCTCCTGGTCTCCCATGCGGGTGCAGGGCCCAAGCACTTGGGCCATCCTCCACTGCCTTCCCGGGCCACAGCAGAGAGCTGGACTGGAAGAGGAGCAACTGGGACAGAATCTGGCGCCCTGACCGGGACTAGAACCCAGGGTGCTGGCACCGCAGGTGGAGGATTAGCCTAGTGAGCTGCGGCGCCAGCCTTAAAACTAAAATTATTAAAATCTAAAAGTGACTGAAGAGAAACTATGTGGGGGCATTTTTAATGTGCGGGCAGGTACTTGGCCTACCAGTTAAGATGCTGGTTGGGTCACCCATATCCCATACGGTAATGTCTGGGTTTGATATCTGTCTTCAGTTTCTTTCTTTTTTTTTTTTTTTTTTAAAGATTTTATTTATTTATTTGAGAGGGAGTTACAGACGATGAGAGGGAGAGACAGAGAGAAAGGTCTTCCTTCCATTGGTTCATTCTCCAGATGGCCGAAACTGCTGGAGCTGCGCCAATACGAAGCCAGGAGCCAGGTGCTTCTTCCCGGTCTCCCACGCAGGTGCAGGGGATCAAGGACTTGGGCCATCTTCTACTGCTTTCCCAGGCCATAGCAGAGAGCTGGATTGGAAACGCAGCAGCCATGACTAGAACCAGTGCCCATATGGGATGCCGGTGCTACAGGCGGAGGATTAACCTACTGCGCCACAGCACCGGCCCCTGTCTTCAGTTTCTGATTCAACTTCCTGCTAATGCAGACCCTGGGAGGCAGCAGTCATTGCTCAAGTACCTGGGTCCCTGCTACTCATGTGAGATTTAGATTGAATTCCCAACTCCTGGCTTTGATGCCAGGAGCTATTATGGGCATACGGGGAGAGAACCAAAAGACAGAAGATCTTTCTCTCTCTCCTTCTCTGTCACTCTGTCATCCAAATAAATTTTTAGAATTTAAAAAAATTAATGTAACATAAATTTGAAGCCATTCTTCAGTAAAATAAATATTAAACACAAGCACTGCAAAATGGCTACAGCTGCTATCATAACTTAGATAGGTGACAAATAATGAGTGAGAAGCACATACAGTGGGGATACACTAGACAAGGCAATGATTCACATCCTGGGCAGGATGCAGGGGGACGCATGGCACTGCATGATGCTACTCAAATAGCATGCAATTTAAACCTTTTGAATTTTTTAGAAGATTTTATTTATTTAAGAGGTAGAATTACAGAGAGAGAGAGAGAGGGAGAGACAGAGAGAGGTCTTCCATCCACTGGTTCCCTCCCCAAATGGCTGCAATGACCAGAGCCTGGTCGATCCGAAGCCACAAGCCAGGAGTTTCTTCTGGGTCTCCCACATGGGTAGAGGGGCCCAAGTACTTGGGCCATCTTTCACTGCTATCCCAAGGATGTTAGCAAGGAGCTGGATCGGAAGAGGAGCAGACAGGACTTGAACTGGTGCCTATATGGGATGCCAGCGCTGCAGGCAGTGACTTAGCCCACTAGGCCACAGCACCAGTACCCCCTGAATTATTTAATATGGAATTTTCCACTGAATAATTTAGACTGAAATTTACTGTAACTGAAACTACAGAAAGCACAACTGTAGGGGCTGGCATTATGCACAGCAGGTTAAGCTGCTCTCTGCAGCACCGGCACCCTACATGAGCTGCTCCACTTCTGATCCAGTTCCCCACTAATGTGCCCAGGAAAGCACCAGAGGATGGCCCAAGTGTTTGGGCCCTGGCATCCATGTGGGAGACCCGGATGAAGCTCCTGGTTCCTGACTTCAGCCTGGCCCAGCCCTGGCGGTTGTGGCCATTTGGGGAGTGAATCAATGGATGGAAGATCTCTCTCTGTCTCTGCTTCCCCCTGCCTCTCTCTGTAACTCTGCCTTTCAAATAAATAAATAAATCTTAAAAGAAAAAAAAAATGAAAGGAAGCAAAACTGTGGATAAAGGAGAACTCCTATACTCATTTTTGATTGCTCATCAGCTTTTTTTTTTTTAATTTTTTATTTATTTTTTATTTTTTGACAGGCAGAGTGGACAATGAGAGAGAGAGACAGAGAGAAAGGTCTTCCTTTGCCGTTGGTTCACCCTCCAATGGCCACCGCAGCCGGAGCACCGCAGCCTGTGCACCGCACTGATCCGATGGCAGGAGCCAGGTGCTTCTCCTGGTCTCCCATGGGGTGTAGGGCCCAAGCACTTGGGCCATCCTCCACTGCACTCCCTGGCCACAGCAGAGAGCTGACCTGGAAGAGGGGCAACTGGGACAGAATCCGGTGCCCCGACCGGGACTAGAACCCGGTGTGCCTGCGCCGCAAGGCAGAGGATTAGCCCAGTGAGCCGCGGCGTTGGGCTCATCAGCTTTTAAAGCTTACTTCTTAACTCTCAGACACGATATGAAGGAATAATTATTTATTTGAATCGTCCGATTACGGAGAGCAAGAGATCATCCACCCTCCTTGCTACGCCCGCAAGCCGCCGTCTATGCCGGGTCGGGGCGCTGCGGAATTTTGGAGCATGCAGCTTCTTCTGGATCTCCTTTTTTTTTTTCCGGGGCCCCCTGGACTTAGGCTAGCCTTTCCACTCCTCTTCCCTAGAACATTAGAAGAAATCTGGATAGGAAATGGAGTAGCCTGGACTCAAACCCGCACCCATATGGTATGCAAGAATCTCAGCTGGTGGCCTAAACCTGTTATGCCACAATGATGGTCCCAATAGAGTTATGTTTTTTCAACTGAGGGCTACTATGACTAAGTACTGATGTACAGAGATCGAGAAGCTCCAATAGATGTGGACTAACTGAGAGAAAAGACAACAGCCAGAGAAATGTAGAACCAGGTCA